TTTCGTGTTACCTTCTGCGTCATCATCAGCTAATGTCTACTAAGTATGATGGGTTATTTTAGGTACATGATTTTTCTTGCGTCCTACATGTCTTCTACACTCTAAAGACACGTGCACCTAGACAAGTAAACAGTGACATTAGCCAGGATATGATGGAGGCCACACATAATGGTTTCACCCAAGGATCACTTTAAACTGCTATCTTAAAAACATATCATAACTTTGACATGATAGCATTACACTAGACCGGGTCAAATCATTCTCAGACTAATAAGTGGTACCTCTGACTACTGAACCATAGTGATCTTTTAGATATATGCGAAATATTGAACTTAGGATATGCCTTCGTACATATCATATACTTGGTTGCGATAAAGTCATGTGTTGGACTGAAATATACAACAAAATATGGATTTGTCACAAAGACCACTCGATACATTGCACAGAAACCATATATAATGTTCGAAAAATAAGATACTCTATGCTTTAAACCAGTCTATTCATTCGTCTTTAAGGAGCTATTTTTTTATCGTCAAAACAAACTTATGAGGTGGCATTAAAGCTAACAGGACTTTATCATTGTTTTCATACGTGTTTCCATAAAGCATATTTGCTGTGTTGTTATCAAAAACATTTGAAGTGTGTCCATACAAAATATGTTGTGTTCTAAAGAACATGCATTGTACTGTTATAAAGAACACATGTGCTGCTACCAAATGGAGATTTTTGTCTTGCAAAATAGTTATGTATTCTTACTAAGAACGTATGTGTAGTTAATATGTCAAATGAAGGGCCCATCAGTGATGAAGACTATGGAAATGCTTTATAGACGCTATCATAATCTCACTGGGAAATGTTTTTTCTTTGTGATATATGAAGGTCGATGTACTTACATTATGTATATTTATGATTCATTTGTGATCCTTGTTAATTTGCTGTCATTTCCCCATCTCTCAGCATGAGGTTATGCCATAACTTTGATATGAGCTAGATGTGACGGGTGTCTTTGATGAAGCAGAAGACGCTTACTCTCCAGCAACACCTGGTCTCAATCTTATCTTGTTATATCGAGATTGAGTTCGAATGCTGTTTGTTTGTGGCGACTTCGTTATTCTCTTGGTTGTTTTTCCGGGGATTAGTTCAAAGCTAGGTGAAGGTGCCTTATCTGCTGTAGCTTGGGTTCGATACCAGGTAAATTATTATATAGTAATGTTACAACATTTGTATTAGGCCGTATTTAATCTTAGGGACATCACTTTTCTACAAAACGAGAAGAGTTTCACCCCCTTTCAAATCTTCATATGAGTGTGATCAGGTGTGTGTGTTCTACTTGTAATGAGACAATAACAACACTGCATTACTACAGCCCAGAAACGTCAGAAATACTCTTCCTTTTATGAATGAATTCAAAACCGTATAGAAGGTCCCGTTTCTATCTATGTATGTAAATGCAACCCCTGTGGATGAAGCAATGATAGCCATTCGGTCTGCTACAGAAGTCGTAAACCTTTCAAGTAAGAGTAATCTACTGTCTCCGCTTACTTCAGAACTAAACGTAGGTTGCAATCTTACAGTTTTAAGTCAGCATGAAAATGAGGCGATGGCCGCAAAAAAAGAAGGTTTAATTTAGCGGCAAGGAGAAGCTATGACGGCCACGATCTTGCTTCAGCTTTATATGTGGCAATACATTTGACCACGGTTGTTGCAGATAACGCTAACTTAGAAAAGAATATACAGCACCTTTAATTGAACATTGTACTACATTGTAATATGTTATAAAGAAAATAGGTTTCTTTGTTGTTAGTTTGTTGTTAATAGTAACTATAGTAACTATGTTTTAGCTAACAAACTATCTTTACATTTTTTTCTCATACGTATTTATTTTCTATTAAAAATTCGCTTACATCTGTATACATTATTATGTGAATTGCGTCAATAGTACTGTATATAAACGACTTCACTGTACACTAAATCGTTATCCGAATTAATTTTTTAATACTCGTTTATTCTTTGTACAGTTGTTAACCTATCTGACTCTATGTAAAACACTATACTTCTATCTGTATAAAACATTATCAAACTCGAGCTGGTATTTATGATTGACTTATTTTACGGTTGTTATTCTGTCTCTAGAAGAAACCTGTCTCTTCATAAAACATAATTCAAACTCCCCATTAATAAAGCATAATACTAGTATGTCCCAGCATTAAGTATAATCCAAACACTCCTACATCAAACATGGTTCTGTCTCTACATAAAACATTACCATAACACTCAATATATACATCTGTAATATGTTTCTACATAAAACATTACCATAACACTCAATATATACATCTGTAATATGTTTCTACATGAAACAATATCATAAGAAACATTAATATCTCGTCATCCATCCTAATCCAAACATTCCCTGTATAAAACATTTATCTCCCTCTATATATAGCCTTATCCTTCCAATCCCTATGTAAATCATTGACCTCCTCTGCATGATACATATTCCTAATACTCACTTTATTTAACATTATTATTATATATGCATCAAACATTATTCTAACACTTTCTATATAAAACATTAACGTGTCTCTCCACACAATAATAACCTAACTGTCTCTATGAGAAACATTGCGTTGTCGCTTTGAACCATTGCAGTTTCTTTGTTTTTATCACTATAACAGACAATTTACTATGGGGCAACTAGCTGTCATTGATCAGATTCCTCTTACCACTATATACGTGTACTCGCTTCTAATAGCTCACAATATAAGGCTTCAACCCCAATCGATTGAATCTGCAACAAAACAACGAAACCAATATTTGAACATCTTTATTTTATTAAACACCAAAGTTCGAAAATTCACCCATTATCGTTACATAATCCTCTGCACATTGTAGTTTAATGCGGGATCAACGGAATCCTGATGAGTGATTAAAACGTCTGACACAGTCCACAGAAACCTCACAAATCACAATGGTGACAAACGCATTTGGCGAAAACAACCTTAATTACGCATAATTTGTCGGCCCAGACATGAATGTGCCACGTCTTGTATAGGCTTCAACTTCTATTAAACTCAGTAAGCATAATGATATTCCAAAGCGCACACTTTGGACGGGATATCTACAGGTACCGTCACCGTGCCTGTAAATACAAACCGTATCAACTATCAACTAATCTTTTAATCTTTGGTGATGACTCTCTAACCCATCAAGAAAACACTATAATTTGTCTAGCCGGCCAAAATTATATACTCAAAACTAAAAGATTTCAAATAAACGAATAGTCCTTAACAATTTCATTTTGACATATATATATATATATGTATGTTGTGTTGCATTCGTTTTACTACTATGTTTTAAAATGTATTTGGATTGATATGCTTATTCAGTGATTTTGCCATTGCATTTCTTTATACCATATTATGTCACTAACTGACCATGATTATGATAGTTTGATAAAGTGATGTGTTACTTTGAAAGAGCAGGACGTACCAGGGACGAGGCGGGAAAGTGTTTTATGGACTTATATTTGATAAGTGTGATGGCTAGTATGTGAACTGTAACGTTTTTATTAATCACGGCGGTGCTTTGTGACATACTGATTTTGTCAATAGTTGATCTAGTGGTGATTTATTTATGTAACTTGTATATACATTTTTACCTTTATCGAGTGTCCATTTACAGGACTGCTGACATTTTCATCTACTATTGCATAGTTATATTTTACAGAATCGTGTTCCACATACTCATTGCAATAGAGCAATATGATATAACCATTTGATGATCATATGTATATTATATGTTATTCATTCCTGGTTTCCACTGCATACCAATCCATTACCGCCTCCCCTATTCCCGTAATTAGTCTATTGTACATATTACTTCATTCTTGTAGCTAGTGATGAAAAGTTGATTACTAAGCAGGTAACAAATTTACATAAGTGTCACGACACTTATTTTTGTTTCCTTTTCTGTTTTATAAAACATGTACTTCTATGTATTGTCAAACAAAATTTGAATAAAACAAAGTTTAAACCAAATACAAACAAGCTTAACAATTCAATACACGCTGTGATATTCGATTATACATTTGTTTGATTATGGCCGGGAGTTTAGTCGATCAAGATTTCTAGTTTCCGATTTTAATAATTAATGTAAAAAGTGTCAGCGTCCAAGTGGGCATCGAGTGCATGAATAATTATCACGTGATTTATTTTCAGTTTATTGATCAATGATCAGCCATAACTGTTCCTGTCAATGATTGGGGATATTACTGTCCGTGATTGGTGTGGTAATTAGACACATCGCACACCTGCTGTTTGGGCCTTGTTGACGGCTAAGATATCGTCCTTTTCATCCGGTTGTCATGGTAGGAACAACCCGCCTATTCTGTAAGCCCCTGGTCAAAGAACCGTAACAACAAATATTTGAAATGTCCTTCTTTAGAACGGATATAAACTGCTGAATACCACTATGATCAATGTATCACATGGCATTCTTTCATTTCGCTTTCTTATATTGTTTGTATGCTTCTTGCGGAGGAGCCGCCAAATCGTACGATTGTTGTGATTTTAAGTTATAAGATGTAAAGTACCTTTAACTGATTAGCGTTCAATTTCGCCGTTGTATGCACATCTTTACAAAGATCATCACAACATTGAATATTCATACCAATCCCTATAATAGTTGTCGTAAGGTAACACACGTAATGCGATTAGCTGGTGGGCAGTTCATTATGTCTTTAGTTTGGAGGGTGTTATTTGTAAAGTCGTACACGGAACAGAAAGAGAGAGAGTTGATGTTTGGAATGTCCTGTCGAATCACGTGTTGATTTATCACACAGAACAGGTGTATCTGTGGACACAAATGATGATTTCAACTTCCATGTTACGTGGACACGTAATCTCAGAGACGTTTGAATGTGTTAATTAGGGATTATATTTGACCTGTGAACAAAACTAGATCATGAACTAGTGCAATCCTGTATTTTCCCTGGGCACTTAGGACTTGGAGACTGTCTGGGATTGGTAAGTATATCCGTTATTGCCATGGGTTACAAAGGATCGTGGTACAACCAACTCGCTGGTGGTGATCTTAGCTGTCATGTCAGGCGCCGGACTTTCTCTGAAGAAGTTTGCCAGGAACTTGCTCTGTGAGTGCTGATGAAGACAAAAGAGACTTTGTGTTACATGACAAAACGATAATGATAATACATTAGAACAGAAGCTGGTAGAGCCATCTCTATTGATTCAATGGGTCGTGCACATCCGTACTCTTGTTAACCGATATGATTGTTCTAAAATGACAATTTAACGTTCTGTACGCTATGTCTGTTCCTTACGAGCAGTGCAAATTAAAGAAATAGGAACCCGCTCCCATAAAATACTTAAATGCTTTTAAACCTTGTCTTGATTTAAATAGCCTAGCTTAGACAACTGTTACAGCGTGTAAATCGAAATTTAATAAATAATTTTATGTTTCAATGGATTCCGTATAGTTGACCCCTAAAGTAGATATATGACGCTTTGTGGTCAATTCTGTTTAAGTATGGACATGCGTCTTTCATGCTGGCTCTAAAGGTTTTGCCAGAATCATAGACTTGTAGTAATTCACGATGTTGTCTTCTGTATGTTTGAAAAAAGCCTGCACAGAACAGAAATAGTTGAAGCCGTCCACAACCCCCGTGCCCATACAGCTTATGTTGTCTGGGGGATACATCAACCCGGCAAGCACGCGCACCAGGTTTTAAACATAACACAATGACGCATTCGCGATCGAATATAAACAATTCCACTTTTCAGCGGTATATCAAACAAGTTCAGTTGGTCTACAGTCAATGATAAATTGGATACTTACACATGGTTTATTATATGAACCTACTTAGGGATGATGATGTGGACGTGTTAAATTCATTGACCTTTGAGCTCTTGAGTATGATATGCTTAATGATATTCATTTGCAAGTATTCATGAAAATGTTTCCTTTGTGAATATTTTACCCCATTTTTGTTGATTTTGAGGTTTCGTATTAGAGTTTTGTTTATACTCCTATACACTGTCACTTCCAAACCTCGGAATTTATTTTCAAAAATGTATTAAACGCCATATGGGCTTTAAAATACCCCATAAAACTCATTTCAAACAACTAAGGAATTTTTCCATGAAAATGTTTTCACACAATCAATTTCCCAAAATGTTGCAATCTGAAATTGGTTTTAAATTTAAGCATTAACAAACGACGTACGAGTTTAATGAAACACAATTAGGTACAAGTAAATACGAATAGATACATATGGTAATATCCTCAAAATCTCAGGAAAATGAGAAATTGTTGAAGTTCAACAACTCGAAAACAGGAAAAACAGGAAAGCAAAATGGAAATGGGATTGAAAACGTACTTTAAGTACACTGGAAACCTGTCATACGTTTATCACTGGCACTTAATCACGCTAAGTAACACATTAATTTGTGGTATTTGTGATATACAATGTATTGTTGTTTAATGGACAAGATCAAAATAAACATTGCTAGCATGTAATAAATAATTAACGATTTGTTACTAACTTCATAAAAAAAAACAGATTTAGTAAGTGTCGATGTGTTTCTGATGGTTTCGTAGCTGGTCTCATTGTTACACGTCTAAACACGTGTTACTGTATGTAGAAACTAGTGTCTGGGAAACCTGATTGCGCCGTCAAGATGGATGTGTTTTTTCCGCGAACTCTGCGTATGAAGATCCGTGCGACATACAGACAAGTCCGCGATTACTATATGGCACAGACAGACAAGTCCACGATCACTATATATATGGCACGGACAGACAAGTCCGCGATCACTATATAAGGCACAGACAGACAAGTCCGCGATCACTATATGTGGCATAGACAGACAAGTCAGCGATCACTATATAAGGCACAGACAGACAAGTCCGCGATCACTATATAAGGCACAGACAGACAAGTCCGCGATCACTATATGGCACAGACTGACAAGTCCGCGATCACTATATGGCACAGACGGACAAGTCCGTGATCACTATATATGGCACGGACAGACAAGTCCGCGATCACTATATGAGGCACAGACAGACAAGTCCGCGATCACTATATGTGGCACAGACAGACAAGTCTACGATCACTATATGTGGCACAGACAGACAAGTCCACGATCACTATATGTGGCACAGACAGACAAGTCCGCGATCACTATATGTGGCACAGACAGACAAGTCCGCAATCACTATATATGACACAGACAGACAAGTCCGCGATCACTATATGTGGCACAGACAGACAAGTTCGCGATAACTACATGTGGCACAGACAGACAAGTTCGCGATCACTATATTTGACACAGACAGACAAGTCCGCGATCACTATATGTGGCACAGACAGACAAGTCCGCGATCACTATATGGCACAAACAGACAAGTCCGCGAACACTTTATGGCACAGACAGACAAGTCCGCGATCACAATATGTGCCACACACAGACAAGTTCGCAATCACTATATGTGGCACAGACAGACAAGTTCGCGATCGCTATATATGGCACAGACAGACAGACAAGTCCGCGATCACTATATATGGAACAGACAGACAGACAAGTCCGCGATCGCAATATGGCACAGACAGACAAGTCCTAGATCACTATATATGGCACAGACAAACAGGTCCTAGATCACTATATATGGCACAGACAGACAAGTCCGCGATCACTATATGTGGCACAGACAGACAAGTTCGCGATCACTATATGCGGCACAGACAGACAAGATTGCGATCCCTATATGTGGCACAGACAGACAGACAAGTCCGCGATCACTATATGTGGCACAGACAGACAAGTTCGCGATCACTATATATGGCACAGACAGACAAGTCCGCGAACACTTTATGGCACAGACAGACAAGTCCGCGATCACAATATGTGGCACATACAGACAAGTCCGCGATCACTATATGTGGCACAGACAGACAAGTTCGCGATCACTATAGTTGACACAGACAGACATGTCCGCGATCACTATATGGCACAAACAGACAAGTCCGCGATAACTATATGTGACACAGACAGACAAGTTTGCGATCACTATATGTGGCACAGACAGACAAGTTCGCGATCACTATATATGGCACAGACAGACAGACAAGTCCGCGATCACTATATCTGGAACAGACAGACAGACAAGTTCGCGATCGTTATATGGCACAGACAGACAAGTCTGCGATCACTATATGTGGCACATACAGACAAGTCCCCGATCGCAATATGGCACAGACAGACAAGTCCTAGATCACTTTATATGGCACAGACAGACAAGTCCGCGATCACTACATGGCACAGACAGACAAGTCCGCGATCACTATATGTGGCACAGACAGACAAGTTCGCGATCACTATATGTGGCACAGACAGACAAGTCCACGATCACTATATAAGGCACAGACAGACAAGTCCACGATAACTATATGTGGCACAGACAGACAAATTTGCGATCACTATATGTGGCACAGACAGACAAGTCCGCGATCACTATATGTGGCACAGACAGACAAGTCCACGATCACTAATGTGGCACAGACAGACAGGTCCACGATCACTATATAAGGCACAGACAGACAAGTCCACGATCACTATATGTGGCACAGACAGGCAAGTTAGCGATCACTATATGTGGAACAGACAGACAAGTCCGCGATCACTACATGGCACAGACAGACAAGTCCGCGATCTCTATATGTGGCACAGACAGACAAGTCCACGATCACTATATGTGGCACAGACAGACAAGTCCACGATCACTAATGTGGCACGGACAGACAGGTCCACGATCACTATATGTGGCACAGACAGACAAGTCCGCGATCACTATATGTGGCACAGACAGACAAGTCTGCGATCACTATATGGCACAGACAGACAAGTCTGCGATCATTTTATTTGGCACAGACAGACAAGTTCGCGATCACAATATGTGGCACAGACAGACAAGTCCGCGATCACTATATGTGGCACAGACAGACAAGTTTGCGATCATTATATTTGGCACAGACAGACAAGTCCACGATCACTATATGTGGCACAGACAGACAAGTTAGCGATCACTATATTTGGCACAGACAGACAAGTCCACGATCCCTATATGTGGCACAGACAGACAAGTCCACGATCACTAATGTGGCACGGACAGACAGGTCCACGATCACTATATGTGGCACAGACAGACAAGTCGACGATCACTATATGTGGCACAGACAGACAAGTCCACGATCACTATATGTGGCACAGACAGACAAGTCCAAGATCACTATATGTGGCACAGACAGACAAGTTTGCGATCACTGTATGTGGCACAGACAGACAAGTTCGCGATCACTATATATGGCACAGAGAGACAGATAAGTCCGCGATCACTATATGGCACAGACAGACAAGTCTGCGATCACTATATATGGCACAGACAGACAAGTTCGTGATCACTATATGTGGCACAGACAGACAAGTCAAACAGCGTGGACCTACTTGATACGCACATTCTAATTTCAATTTCAGTTATATTTTGCTTGTAAAAAGACTGCAGACTGTTTTTGGATAGCTATTTACGGTACTTAAAATGCCTTCTCAGTGGCAGTTCCATGTTTTTGAAGAAATGGGTTAAACATCCGCAGAGCAGGAACAAATAGTCGAGAAAAACATTCAGGCGACGTCATTTTCAATAAAAGAAATAAACAGATAAATTTGACCCGCGTTTGTACTTTGGTTACAGAAACCACAACAATAACAACAAAAACAACATCAACATCAACATTGTTCAAAGTCTGTTTGATAAATGACTAAATACCGAGCGCCATAATACTGTAGTAATGTGTTTGATAAAAACGTTCTCTTTTTGAGATCTTGGAAGAAATAATGTAAGATCAGTAAGAGGAAATCGGTTAACGCTGATTATTTTTCTTCATTACTGGTTCGCATTAAAGTTCCTTATACGTATTGCGGTGACCGTTAAGGAGACGGATCGCGTTGTACAGCTCGGCTTGAGATGAGGACTTGACTGCCTATCCAGTGTACATCACTGCAAGCTATGATTATTTTCGGTTAAAATGTGGTATAACTTGACCTCTGTGCAGCCAGTTTCATTGTGAATACTGAGATGATAG